ATGTTTCTTAATAAATATACAGGGTGAATTATTAAGCGCGCGCTCCTCGACATTTCATTAATTATTATTATTAGAAATAAAAAAATCAAAGCTCAGAGTTGCACATTTATTTGAAAAATGTGCTCCAACATTATTTTTAACTATACAGGATGCTGAAAAAATGACGTACCAACTCTATGATACGTTGTTGAGGACTGTTTATAAAGCAGAGAAAAAATAATTAAAAAAATTCTTGGGCCCAAATGTAAAAAATATAGCCCTTCAAATTTTAATTTTAACTTATTTTTGGAGGTATCTTGTTTTCATCCACAGTTTTCTTCCTTTTATAATATAACAAAAATCTTAAACATTGGTTAGGATGAACTGGAAAAGTGATTTATCGGTCTAAATGGGTATTTTGTTTCTGTAAGTGAACGTCAAATTGACGTAAGGAATTTTTTAATGATTTTTCCCGACTTGTGAACTAATTAACGTAACGTTGAGTTGGTCCGCCATTTTTTCAGCATCCTCTATTCTATAAAACGTGTTATTTTTAAAACGTAATTCAAAACTTTTTTTTACGTAGTTTTACATATTTTGATTGACCACTTCTTCGATTTTATAATCACAGTTTATTTTTGAAATTACGATGCGATGTTGCCACGTTATTCGAATTTTCTTGAAATTTTTTAGCAACAAAAGGACTCCCAAAAAATCGCAATAAAGTTGCTTCTAAAATCTGGGTTATAACATTTTGTGGAGATATAAATTAAGATGTACGCTTTGTTGTGTCGTAAATAAAATAAAATTTTCATATACAGAGTGTTTATAAAAAATGATTATTACAACTTTCAAATATGCATCGACATTTCAGTTTTTTTCAATAAAACAGTCTAAATTTTATTACTGAATTTTTTGTTTTCTTTCTTTCTTGTTAACTATTTTCCATATTTAAAATTGATAAATACTACGATTTTTACTTTTCTAAGAGGCACATCGACATGTTCTAAAAATAAGAACAAAAAATAGAGTAAGATACATTAATAAAATACAGGGTGTTCTATTTGAAAACACTGAAATACCGATATTTGAAAACTATAAAGTTCACTTTTTTCTGTATAACCCTATTGCTATTTTTTGTGGAGCTTCCACTGCCAAAAAATGTCAAAAACCTTGGAATAACGTGTCGCTTCAAAACGTCAAAAATAATCTGTAGTTAAAGCCTGGAGAGGTTATTAAGAATATGTAAAAATACATAGGGTGTTTAATTTAATAAACTAAGTTGTGTGTTATGCTATAAATACAGAACACTCTGGTGATGAAAAACTAACGTATGTGCTCGATGTTAAGAAGACTTTGAAAATCTCAAAAATCGGTTCCAAAAATCCCTGCCCTAAACTGAAAATATTGAACATCAAAGCTGAAGAATTAACTTCGTAATTCTGATTTGTTTTAATGAATTGCATTATCTAATAGACAGTTTTAATAATTTAAAATAATTAGTTAAAATACCATTCACAACCTCATTCTTTACTGTTGACTGATGCGATTTTTGACAATTTTTATCGGAATTTTAGATTTTCAGTTAAATTCAATGAATTACGAAGTTACTTTTTCAATTTTGAAGTTTAATATTTTCAAAAATTTGGCTCAGTGATTGTTTTTAACCATTTTTCTCGAGTTCTGCAGAGCCTTCTTGACAACGTACCATCGATTAAATGCGTAGTTTTGTCATGACCCTATATAGTCAAAAATAATTTTAGAGTATAGTTCTCAAAGAACTTTCAACTTTGGTCGCTGACTCTTTTATATATCCTATAATTAAAGAAATATCAAGGATCGCTAATGAGATATCGAAGACCGCGCACTTAGTGACTCACCCTATTTACAATCATGTGGAAAGCATTTACACCATATTTTTACATAATTTCGTACATACAATTCTGCATTTTAATTAACACTGATTTATATCAATGAAGACGTAATAATTCTAATAACAATAGTAGTAATATACATAAATTAAGCTAAATTCGAATTTATCTTGTTTTCTCAGTTCTAACAAAATATTTTTTTTCGACAAGTTGTGTTTCGATCAACACCCAGATTCCTAATTTGTTGTCAAGTATTATAAGTACTAAATTGTTGCTGATCAATGAATTTACAAATTAATACATACGAAGATTTTAAGGGAAACCTTTTTTAAAAAAGTTGGGCATGAAGTCGTATAATTGATTTATTACTTACTTATTACACATAATTCCATTTTAGTACGACTTCTCGACAATTTTCGACATTCAATCATCTACGTTTTACTCCATTTTTTTGTTATTTTTTTTTTCTCTGTTTATGATAATTAATTATCTAGAACATAGTGCGAACAACAGTGAAATATATGAACATAAAGTTTTAAATTATTTAGCGACAAAATTTGATATCCTGATGCTGTATCGATTTGGAGTGGGTTTTAGAGAATATAATGCAGGCATCAAGTGAGCTTTATTAAATGATTTTAAATGGCCTGAATCTGATCGGCAATGGGATATCTCACAGATAATAAATCCATTCATATATTGATGAATTTTCATAATAATAAAGTGAAGAAAAACTTTTGTCAATTAGCAAACCCATAAAGTAGAGTGAGTTAAAACAGAACTCTGTAATTTAAAAACCATTATTTACCTTATAAATTTGCTGATGTGATATGTAATTTACAACACAATACACAACTGTATGGAATAAGATTCTGCTTACTAGCATTAACAGATACCTTCACCTACAAACATTTCATCGAGCATTTCATCTGCAATTCAAAAATTTGGATTAAAATTTTTTGTTCAAAAACAAATTCCACCATAATTTTGAACTATTGATGTTAAACAGGTCTCGTTTAAAATGTTTACAAGTAGGTTCTAACAACATAAAAGTAGAAAAAAAGCAGACACATCCTGTACGAAACGTAGATTTAAATGTACGATTCGCAAACAAGCTATCCACCCTACCGAACAATTCAGTTCCCCACGTAATTCTAGGAACATTTTAAACAAATAATCTATTCCAAAATAATTATATCATCCGGGTGCTTTGCATAAATATTGGTTATCAAAGCGATAATTACCGGTTAAATAGAAAAATTCAATAAGCTAATAACAGGTTTCGCCAAGAAAAACTCGGTGGACGAAAAATTACCACAGCTAGGTGAAAACCGGGAACGAAATAATTATCGATACCGGAGGCGTTACATCTTTGAGACTACCAAATTATTATGGTTAGAAATTTACATCGAATGGACACGAAGCTCAGCAAACCCACACTTTGCTTCCACTACCACCACTTGCTGCTTGTCGCAGGTGTGTGAAGGAACAATAGAATGGATGTGAAACTATATAATACATGCTGAACACAGTTTAACACTTTACAATACAAATTACAAAACGATAAATGGGCGGCTTGGTATCCCTTAAGGTAAGAAACCTGGCTGGAACGTGCATTTGAGGTAGTTTCCGATTATTTTAAAACTACAATAAACGTGTAGGTATTTTGATTTAACGATTACTGTAACTTTCTATAGATGTTATCGGTGTATACAGGTGACCAGTACGTGGAGGCAGACAGTTGCTCTGACACGATATGTCCCACTAAGATATGGGACCTTACGGAGCGGGGTTAATTTTTAACACTACATATAACGAGCGACCAAAAAAAATCTTGTAGTTACTTGTATGTGTCAAAAAAGTGAGGTTAAGATGAAATACAATAACTGTACGAAACACGGAAATCCAAACGACAATGTATCTGCGCATATTTGTTCTCGGGTACCTGCATTTTTTAACGCTCGTTAGAGTACACATATGAAGGTGCAAGAGTACTACTGGAGCGTGAGCTCTATTTCAAAAACACATATAATGGAACAGACATTAACAATTTAAATGACAAAAGTGTTTACCCTGACAATTGCTATACCGTTTTTGCATGATGGAAACATGAATATCCCCTAAAACCCATCATATATTTACTTCAAGCTTCCCCATGATCAGATGAACTGATATGTGGATCTGTGCACTGACAAACTGTCGACTTTCACTCCATTGTCCATCGCAATTAGGTAAACGAGGTCAAAGGTGCTGATACAATCTATGATACAAGTTTTAATAAAATATGACCGTGCTGCTATTGGAATAACGAGATGACATGTGGCTTTGTGTTTATGGACGGTATTAATTTAAATCCACTTCCTGGATAATTTTCACATTGAATCGAATCCTTATCACTTCGTCGTTGCTTATCGACATCAGACGAGTCAAAAACACCATAAATACCAAGAACAAAATAAAAATACTAAACGGTATCTCTTATTTATTGACACTAAAGACAAAAATATTTCTTTATCTTCTTTGAAATAAGATTAGAATTAATAGCATCGTAGTTTGTTTGTTGTTTAAATTGAAAGTAAAGAGCTCCGGTTTATAGCCATGAAGTATTTATCAGAAGCCGTATATTAGCGTACTCCACATATTACAATAGATTTAAATAAATCACGTTGGAAAGGAATCGTTTATTTCATCTGATATACACACCTAAGTTGCTATAAACAAGTAATGTTTTGCAAATAACTATAACATGAAGCATTAACTACAGACTGATAAAAATTAATGAATCATTCCAATCACACCGATCTGAAAACGTTTGACAGGTAGGCGCGCCTGTTTCAGCAGACTCTAACAGTGAAAAGATTATCTTTTCGGTCGCATCTCAACATTCACGGGGAAAAAACCCCAATGAGCGATGGTGTATACCAAAAATCACAAAATAACAACAGATAATAAAACGATAAGAAACCGGCCCGATGGGCGTACCGCGGTAATTAAAAATAAATCGGACAATAATTGTCGAGACTTTGAATCTTTTGTGTTGGCCAATAACGAGCACATTATCGTCTTATCAATTCAACACATACACACATACGAAACAGTGGATGTCAGCAACAATTATGAAACAACAAACAAAACGAATTTAGCACCTACTTTTTAGCGGCTTGGGGTTGCTCTGCTTTCGCCTGGACATCGTCGGTAATTCCCCGAAAGCGTCAGTTAAAGCCGAAAGTCACATGGCACGGACATGGTAAAAAGATATATGTAAAAGCACAAAAAGAACACAAAAGCACTGGACACTAACAAAGCAACAAAACAGAAAAAGGGGATGAACAGTCCAATAATCGGTGTCGACGACAATGGGTTGTCACGACAGGTATTTACATCGTAGAGGTTATGTTTTGGATAATTTGACAGTTGTTCACGTGTGTTCCTCGGATAGCGCGCCAACAGAACACTCTCTCATAACGTTTCGGAACGACTGGCGAGTGACTCACTGAAGTTTGTTGATTGTTGCTTTCGCGCGCATACTCTGTGAAACTTGGTGTGTGCGCTCCTCTGTATTCTTCGGCGCTTATCAGACGACAACAAAGTTCTTATCAATTCAAAGTTTTACAAGCATTTGTTCTTTTCTTTTGCTTTATCGTCGCGCAATAGAATACCATTGATGGCCGATACCGACCGTGAGTCACGGATATACGCATAAACGTTTGTCCTAATCACAGGTGACATAAATAAACCTGAGCTAAGGCGATGATTAACAAATTTGAAACACATATTTTAAGTAGAAATTCAAAATTGATATTAACTCTCGATTCTCGAATTCGGAAATTTCCACTTAGCACCGGAGTTTCTGCTCGCAAATACCTATAGTGCATACTCAACTTGGTGAATTGTGAAGTAAGATCATTCTTAAACCTTGATTTTATTTGTTCCCAGTTACCTAATATTATTTATAATGAAGTATTGTTTAAACAGACTACCTGTATCAAACTACACGGAAATATATACCTACTTTCCATTATAATCAGAGTGTGGTGTTACAGATCAAATCTATCTGAATACTCTCATATAATTAGAAACGATGTTTTTGGAATTTAAGCTCAATAAGATGTCCATACTCACAATTTTTTAAAAACTCAAAACTACATATATCGGTAATTACGTCTGTTATAGATCATCCACGAAAAGACAAGCCGGTCCTGTTTAAAAAAAGCGTGCCGGCCAAACACAACAAAGAGCCGCTACCTAAGTTTGTGGTGGAGTCATAAATTTACCTCTAATAAGCTCCATTATTTGTTTGACAAGGATGGCGAAGAAGTCACAGTCGTAAAACCACCATTTTCATGAATGGCCTACACATTATAAAGCGTATGTATAAAGTTTGGAACAAATTAGACAAAAACTTCAAGAAAATGTCATTTAATTTTAACATGAAGCAGGGTTGGATTTTTTTTTTTTTTTTTGGGTAATTACATCAAAGTTAGTTATGACATCGATTTTTTAAGAAAATCGTACTTTTATGGTAATAAGGTCTATTTAACGCCTTTTTTTCTAGATCTTTTATCCCCATAGAATATAAAAACTCATTTCTTTCGTTGTTTATACCCGTTGTCCCTCTCACGTCGATCTGTCTGCTGGTGGTTTGATTATTATTATTTCATTAATAATGAACAGTTTAATGTATTTTTATTTATATATATTTTTACGACAACTCTTGTAATTATCAAGGCCTGAGGATGGCTAGTCATGAGCGAAATCGGTCATAAAAATAAACTCAAGACGGATTCATAAACTATAAGTGTAGGAGTATATTACTCTATAACATTCAAACAATATTAATGTACAAGTTTTTTAGATGACGTCATGGTAGGGGTGATTGGACAAATTTTGGTAGGCGTTTTACCATCTACACGATATTCATAGCATGCACGTAAACGTTGACAACTATAGTTCCAGTCCACTAGTTTCGGAAATTAAATGTCTAATAAAAATCTGGAAAGACGGTAAACAGCAAACAGACAGCAGAGAGAAAGAGAGGGAGAGACGGAAATGGGCGGTCTACTGTTTCGTATTCTAATGAATGGTCATAAGCATGACACTTATTATTTCACAGCTAACGCTTATGAAATAATAAGACAACACGGTGCAACAAAATTTTACACTGTCTTTTGAAAATAACTAATCTGATTGCCCTTTAACATTACCTAGTAAATCATGATGTAATCGGTATGGTAAACAGAATTTGTTTGTTGCACTTTCAAAAACGTATAACATTTCAAAATTTGCAAAATAAATATCAGTTAACCAGGAGACTTCCTCTTACACATCCCTAAAAATTTATCTTATAATGAATAAATAAATAATTGACTTTAGTATTTAAATCAATAACGGCTTACCCAATTTTCCCAAAAATTAAATGCAGTCACATTATTATTAGTAATTAAAGAAATATTCTAATAGGGTCCATCCGAAGAGTGACCACTTTCATGGTTTCTCGACGTTTCTTTACCCCTGGAGTACGAAAAAGTAGGTCTCGTGTTTCCGTCAATCTGTCGTCTGTCGTCTGCCTGTGTCGATTTTTATTAGACAAATAATCCTCGAAACTCGCGGACCGACTGTTATCCAATATTGTACCTATGTTATGACAATATCGTGGAGATGGTCAAGCGCTAACCAAAATATGGCTGATCATCCCCACCAACGATGTGATGACGAGTCCTTATTTTTTTTTTAGTGAGCTCCATTTTATTTTGTAAAATAATCTACTCCTATACTTACGTTTTATGAAACCGCCTTGATCTGTTCCTTAGGTATCCAGATTAAAAAAAAAAAAATTTAAACCAGTATAAAACCAGTGACGTGTAGTGAAGTTGGTGGTCGTGCCGTAAACATGTTGAATTATTAACGTGAAGGGCACTGATTCGATTGACTCATAGATATCACAATTTCTTTTTTTTATTGATCAAAATAAAAATGATTCATCCCGTTTTCTCAATAATTTGAGAATATAGTAATGTTGCGCCCTCCTGTATTTAGTAATAATAAAACAAGAATTATCTAATAACAGACCCATCCTCTATTTTAAGGAGACAAAGTCACTCAAATCAGACAGATTTTGCTACATGCTTAACCGTCGCATTCTTTCGATCTATAAACATAAACAATCAAAGTTAGGCATGTACTAATAATATATGTTTCCCTGTTGGTTATCTGCTTTAAATGTATTCGACATGGTCGTTGCCCTGCAGACTGCACCCTCTGTGGCGCAGGGGTTACTTTAACATTGTTCGAGCAGATTTATACTTCTTATATTGTAGCAATTGATACCTGCCTTTAAAATAATAGAAAATAAGAGCAGCTACGTTATTAGAGAATCTAATATGTTTGAGATCGTACCCCGATCAAACGCATTTGAGAAATCATCATGAATCTGTTTCTTCTGATCAAGTGATTAACATAAATATTGGCTTATTGCCATAAGATCTGGCAATGTAGATTGTAGATCTTCCAGTCAGAAGTTCCTTCTGATAGATTGAAATTTGACTAGCTTTGACTAGCGACATGATTGTAGATTTTTAATATCCGAGCTGTCTCCCTTTTTAAAGGGATCCTCCTGAAAGTTTCCACTGAGGATGAAAAACACTCGTTTTTAATATTTGGCCAAAAATTACTTTAAACAGGTACAAACATACAAATACTACAAAAGACGGAATGGAATCAGGATTAGCAATAAAACTCCATTTAATTTTGATGCAACTTGTTCTGGTTCAACTTCGGTTATGTCACTTTTTATGTATACTTAATAAATTAGTCATATGCAAATTTCAATGCTACTTAAATTCACATTTCTCGGAAAAAGAGTTAAACACTTTGAAAAATAAACCGAATTATGGTAAACAGTTCCTATGAGTTCAGAGTAATTTGTTATTAAAAGTAATGGTATATGGAACAGAAGTAGTATTGTTTCCTAAATATTGAAAGCACCAGAAACGTTTCTGAAATTGATCTTCTTGTGCAAAAATTATTGAAATTTTAATAAAAAATTGTTGTGCGACACAGGGATAAAATAATTCTGTAATCAAATTTTTCTTTCCACAATTAGCTTCGTTTGAGAGTTTGAGCAACAATTTTGACGAGTTAAATTCTGTCAGAGTGGCAAATAATAATTATACTCGTACCAACGCTGAAATGGCCGATATGGTCTTTATGTATGGAAAGACTGAGTGGAACGATCGTGAGGCTGAACGTTTCTACCATGAATAGAAGCATTTCCAAGACCAAAGGAAATTCGGCTCTCTTTTCGGGCGGCCACAAGTTTAGTCCTCGCACTGCCGACCATAGTCGTGCGAGGATACAACGTGTTTTAGAAACTGCGTCAGCAATATTAGACGTTCAGATGAAAAGTCTACTGTCAGCAAAGCCTTCGCCCTTACCACGTTCAAAGTGTTTAGAACTTGAAACCACAGGATCGATTCCGAAAAGTTAAGATTTTATGAGTGGTTAATCCAAAAAAATATAGACGATCCACATTTTGTAGAGAAGATCTTATCTACAGATGAAGCAAACTTTTACGCGAAACGGGGTTTTCAGTCTCTATAACACTCATATTTGGTCAAATGAAAAGTCCTATGCAGTTCAAAAGACACATTCTCTGGACTGATTTAGCGTGAATGTATGGGCAAAAATAATTAATTGATAACAATTTAATCGGTCCATATATTATACCACCTCGGTTGACAGCTGCCGCATACTTGAAATTTTTAAACAGTTTTAAGAAACCTACTAGGACATATTCCTTTGGTCATTAGTTAAGATATGCAGTATCTCCATGTTGGAGCTTCGGCATATTAAGCTCGCGAAGTACAGAAATGGTTTAATCACAACTGCTCAAAAAGGTGGACTCGAAGAAATGGTCCAGTGCTGTGGCCACCTCGCTCCCCTGATTTGAATCCATCTGATTTTTTCTTGTAGGGCCACATGATATATACCCAAACCCAATACAGTCGAAGAAATCCGGAAAGGGTAAGCCCGACACAACTTTAATCGGCAGAGCTGATGCCACTTTGAAAATAATTTTTTTTTTGTTTTTGTTTTGAATTTATTAAAATTATTTTTATGGTTTCTTTATTGTATTTTATTTATTTTTTTTTGTTTTGGGATGAATGTTAGACAAATTAAAAATCTCCCCTCACAAACTTCCATTACAGCTTCCCTTAAGTATGTATTGCGCTCACAAGTTAATTTGATCCACTGTTCTGGTATTTTCTGCAATAAGATTCACTCGACTAGAGTATCACAATGTCGCTTTTCTACTTCTGATACATTTTACAGTGTTTGCAAATAATTCGTCACCAAAGACGACATTTTTTGCCATTTTGTTTTTTAAAATTTGTAGTAAAACAGTAACGTTTTACTAGAAAACCATTACGACGTCATCAACAAAAAAATAAAACTTCACGGACATACTGTATACTGTATATTTGAT